ATATATATATATGAATTGTATTCAAAAGTGGACAATTGTCTATTTCAAATGATATTTGTTGGGCTGATTAAATATAAATTTCTTAAAATCTTTTTATTTGGATATACATTATACAACAAATATGTTCATTAATTTTGAATTTATATATGAAGTATAATTTTAAATTGTTTAAATATAGAAGCATTTACGTACATACCGTATAATTTTTATATGAGTTTACATATCTAATACTTAAAATTTTAATATTTACACCTCGATATTGGAAATTTTAACATCGCCTGAAAAAAAAACGCAATTTTTACAAACTTATTGAACGTCAAATGGATGATTTTTTTTCTATAAGTTTTACGCTGACTGTCGACTAACTAATGCAACCCTTCACTTCTCACATCTGGGCTTAGGACCGGCAACGGCAATGTTCATATTTTAAAATCGCCTAAAACGTTTTGAACTAATTGAAAATATGGCACTAAATAGGACGCAATGGAGAAAAAATGATTCATGTAGCCGACTCCACGTAGTGGGATTAAGGCTTTGTTGTTGTTGTTGTTGTTATTGTTGTTGTTAAACGTCAAATGCACTTTTTTATATGAGCATGCTTATAGCACCTAAATGTTTACAAATATAACCATTAAATTTTAGATGTTGGGATATGTAAATCCAAAAAAAGATTGTGGTTCACTGTAAATTTCATACACTAGAAGTGTGATGTGCCGATTTATTAAGCTCATCTCAGTCAAAATTTGATCATCATAACCTTAATATTGAAAACAATTGCGTGAATCTTGATGCGATCCATCGGTAGATACGCAAGGGGAAAAAGGCCATGTTGTTAATATGGGGCTATTTTTCTAAAGTCAAATAAAAATTATATAGGAGCAAATGACTTTAATCAACTTCATATTAATTGAAGGCATGGACTCAATATATTTCACATTCATGCATTAAGAAAAGTATACATTTAACCAATAATTCTACATTCCCTTCAAATATTTTTCAAATATAACATGGAGAAAATTTTAAAATAATAAAAAAAAAATTAAATGATTTTTTATGTTTTTTTTTACAGGTAAAGATCTAGCCGCCTTGCTCAGGGCTTGAGGTCGAGCCATACGAATGTGAGTTGAATCAGTTTTCTAATTTATAGATCAAGTACCACACATGCCACACCCTAGACATTCATATTTACACGCACACCACTCAAGTATTTAATATCACATCAAAAATATCATCATCTCTATCTTTTTAAAAATGAAATACAATTTTTCATGTGTACAGATTGACCCACCCATGTATTAAATTGGGTGTCTGTCTGTACACGTGACAAATCATAGTTAGAGTCATGATACTAAACTGCATCAAAACTCCTGATGCAATAATGTCTCAAAATACATAATTGTGTGGCATTTAGGGTTGTAAACGAGCCGAGCTTGAGCGGGCTCAGGCTTGGCTCGTGTTCGGCTCGTTCGAAATAACTCGTGTTCGAAATCGGCTCATGTTCGAAATCGGCTCGTGAACAGTGTGTTCTTGTTCGACTCGATTTAAATATCCGTGTTCGTGTTCGGCTCGAAATTAGCTCGTTAAACTAAAATTGAGAAAAATAAATGTAAAGTGTGGGATTCAAACCTGGATCAAATATATACAAAAGAAGACATTAATCACATTGTCACATGAGGTGTTATAATTTAAATTTACACATAAATATATATAATATATTATTATACAAATAATATATGTAATATATTGTTATATAAAAAGTTATATAATTTTTTTTCGAGCCGCGCACGCGAGCTACTTTTGTTTGTTGTTGTGGGCCCTCGTTTACATTTCGAGCTTGAAAATTTGTTCGTGTTCGGCTCTTTAGGCTTAACGAACGAGCCGAACACGAGATGCTTAACGAGCCGAACACGAGCAGTTCAAGAACAACGAGCCAAATTGACAGCCCCAGTGGCATTTATGTAAATTTCCCAAAATAATAATACCTATCACACTGAAATGACAAAAAACGAATTCAACTCACGTCAACCGGTGCGACAGTGACTCGCGGTAAAGGCAACAGCCGGCAAAGCACAACCCCCGTGCTTTCCCGCCCCTTCCTATCAGAACCGCACGATCTGATTGCAATTTTCTAATTTATCAGCAAAAAAAAAATTGTAAGAAAATATTTTAAGAGAAACGGGTCTTAGGGTTATGGATGAAATTTTGGAATCTTTGAGATGGCGACAAATGGCATAAATTGCTCTTTTGAAAACTGTTGAATTCTGACCGTTGACTATCTCGCACCACTCACACTTTTCTTACTTCTTCCACGTTTTCTTCCCACCGCCAGCCGTCTCTCTCTCTCTCTCTCTCTCTCTAATGTACACTGTTTGCAAATATCACTATTCTGATGGATCTTTTTGTAAATTAACAGGAGGCATGTTTACTCCTTAAATTTAATTTTAACATATATCATTTTGGAAAAAAATATTACATAAGGACTCCGCACGTAGAGTTACGTGCGGAGTCCAATGAAATCACGCCACACACGTGAAGGTAAGAAAAAAAAACGGGCCGGTAACACGGGAATATTCCTCTGTGTTATTCAGGTGTTATTGTATGTTATTCAAGTGTTATTGTGTTATTATCACTAGGAATATTTCTAGAATACAATAACATATGAATAACACACAATAACACCTGAATAACACTAAGGGGAATATTCTCATGTGTTGTCTGTGTTATTGGGAATATTCCCCTGTGGCGTGATTTCATTGAACTCCGCACGCCTGATGTAATATTTTTTCATCATTTTGATGGTATAAATGTAAATAAAAGGAATTTAGGAGTTAGATGTCTAAATAAATAAAATTAAGTGGTATGTATTTAAAGTGAACTTCAGAAAGAATTTTTTATGGGATCTAAGTGATTTGGGGGTATAAATGTAAGAAATAGAGTGTGTTATATATGTAAAATACATAAAATTGAGTTTTATATATGTAAATGCCTGTGAACTGCAAGTTCTGTTCAGAGGGTGAACCGATAGATCAGTTGGTTTGACATCTGCTTGTCAGTTGTAAGTCCACTCTAGTCTGGTATTCGATTCCCCTCGATTCTTAGGCGCATGAGAAATGATCGAAGCTCGTATAATAGCATTCGGTCATTCCTTTATATATATATATATATA